CCAGCCAACCAAAAGATGCTAAACCCCAGCCTGGGTTTCCATAACTCACAATAGGTTCATACATATTCATTCCGCGTGACATTTATCGCCAGTTCTTCTTTATCAAAGTAATTCCTAGTTCAGGGGCAAATCGACCTTGTGGTCATTTCTGTTTTTGGTTTTTTTTTTTCTGTCTGCTCACTGTCTCTGCCCAGCAGTTTTTCCTTCAGCTTTGGCCTCACAGACTTTTCACCTCTCCTAGACACTTCACCTAATTCAGAATGGACCTCTACTCTGTCTCATTGTGTTGGTGAGTGACCACAGCCTGGTCCAAAACAGAGGGAGGAGATGATCTGTGGCAGTAACACCTTGCTTTGCTACAACAGAGAATAATGACCATTAGTCTCATATTCCTGCTCTCTGCAAGACAGAAGGTGAAGATGTGGAGAATCTGGAGGTTCTCTTCCCACCCTTCCCAATTTCCATGCTCAGTTTCTTAAACAAAATCTCTCTCTCCAGTTTCAGCGCTCAGCCAGGCCCTGCCACCCTGGGACATCCACAGCTCTAACTCGAGCACACTTGTGTAGCAGTGTTCAACTCCTACCCTCCCATGTTTGGGATCAGATTTCAGTAAAAATGCCTTCAATATCATGAATTCACTTAGGTGGTTACAGAACTGGCCTCAGGCAATCTGTTGAACTAAAGTACCAGCCTGAAGGAGCTGAAAAAATTGAATTAACCTTTTACTTGAAATATTTCTTTGTACAATAAGACCTTTAGGAAATAGAACTCTCACCTAAGTAGAAAACATTTCAAATTTTCACTACCAAGGAAGGATGGTATGGCTCTGGGAGCATTGATTGATTGACTGATTGATTTTAAATTTGTGAGGCTTAAATAATTTTTTTTCCCAGCTGGGAAAGGACTTAAAATTTTTTTAAAAGCCCTTTATGGGCTAAGATGGAAAGAAGTTCAGACAGGAAGATACATTGCAGTCCTCTACATCTCACAGGAGGAGGATAAAAACAATTTCACATGAGCAGACTGCTGAAATTTCATCTTAATCTCATGAGAGTTTTATTTGCCACTAGAGCAGCAGCAGGTCAAATGAGGGGTTGCAAGAGCAGGTTGAGAATCAGTGATGTCACAGTGCCTCAATATTTCGTGCTAAGCCCATGGATACTTTTTATTCATTATTTTATTTAGTTATGCATTTTCCACAGTTTTGAATGTTAACTCCCCTCACCCCCAAAATACAGCAATAGAGTTACAGAGACAGAGATGCTTTCACTGCAGATGTTCTCCTTCAGAGTGTTCAGGAGGTCTTATGACCATTTTGGCATTGAAAGGAAAACCAGCTTTTTCATCCCAGTACATCTGCCAGCAAAAGCAAACCTGTCTGATTAGCATCTGCAATAATTAGGAAGTAGTTGCTGGCTAGCCAGTTTGGCACCCATCTGCAGGAAGGCTCGGAAGGAGGATTCCAGCAGCCTGTCAGCCTGACCTCAGTGCTTAAGGAAGGTTATGGAACAGATTATCTTGAGTGTGATCACATAGCACGTGCAGGGGATCAGGCCCAGTTAGCAGAGGTTTAGGAAAGGCAGGTCCAGCTTGACCAACCTGCTTTCCTTCTATGACAAGGTGATTCACCCAGTGGATGAGGGAAAGGCTGGGGGTGCTGTCTACCTAGAATTCAGTAAAGCCTCTTGTGGTGTTTGTGAGGGTCTCAGGATGAGGTGAGAGATGAGAATTTGACTCTATGTTCTCAGAAGGCTGATTTATTATTTTATGATATTATATTAAAAGAATGCTATACTAAAACTACACTAAAGAAAGAGAAAGAATACATCAGAATGATAAAGAAAAACCCGTGACTCCTCAGAGCCTCGACACAGCTGGACCATGATTGGTCATTAAATTAAAACAATTCACATGCTCCAAATCACATTCCAAAGCAGCAAAACTGGGAGAAGCTGAAGTTTCTCAAGGAGAAGAAATCCTGGCGAAGGGATTTTTCAGAAAATATCTTAGTGACAGCCTCTGTCATTGTCTCCCACAAACTTCTGCTGGAAAAGCTGGGAGCTCACAGCTTGGACAGGTGCACTCTGCAACTGTCAGGAGTGGTGGTGTAGGGAGTCACCTCCAGTGTACAGGGAACAGTCTGTTTAATATCTTTATTGATGACCTGGACAAGGGGATCAAATTGTCCCTCAGTCAGAGGACACCAAGCTGGATGGGAGTCTTGATCTGCTGTAGGGTAGGAAGGCTCTGCAGAGGGATCTGGATAGCAGGGATCCATGGGCAGTAGCCAGTGGTATGAGGTTCAAAAAGACCAAGTGCCAGGTCCTGCCCTTGAGTCACAAGCACCTGTAGTGCTACCGGCTGGGGGGGACAAGAGGCTGGAAAACTTGCCAGCACAAAAGGACCTCGGGGTGCTGGTCAACAGCCAGCTGAACATGAGCCAGCAGTGAGCCCAGGTGGCCAAGAGGACCAGTGGCATCCTGGCTCATTGCTTAGCGCATCAGCAGTAGCGTGGCCAGCAGGACCAAAGCAGTGATTGCCCTCCTGATCAGCACTGGGGAGGCCACAGCTCAAGTGTGCTCAGTTCTGGGTCCCACATTACAAGAAGGACATTGAAGTGATGGAGCGAGTCCAGAGAAGGGCAGTGGAACTGGGGAAGGGTCTGGAGCACAAATCCTGTGAGGAACAGCTGAAGGGCCTGGGGTGTTTAGCCTGGAGAAAAGGAGGCTCAGGGGAGACCTGGTCCCTCTCTACAACTGCCTGAAAGGAGAGTGTGTAGCCATGTGGGGATCAGTCTGTTCTCCCAGGCAAAGGATGAGAGGAAACAACCTCAGGTTGGGCCAGAGGAGGTTGAGAGTGGATGGGAGGAGAAATTCCCTCACTGAAAGAGTGGTTAAGCATTAGAATGGGTGCCCTGCCACCAGGGAGGTGGTGGAGTCACCATCCCTGGAAGCATTCAAAAATGGTTGAATGTGGCACTTCACAGAATGGTTCAGTGGGCAGGATGGTGGTAGATCTAAGGTTGGACATGATGATCTTGCAGGTCTTTTCCAACCTTAATGATTCTGTCATTTATGTAAACACACAGCTACTCTCTGAAAAGCACAAGTCCTGTTTTGCTCATCTTCCAGTCCTTTCCCTCCTATACAGTCAGAGCAGCTGTCACACTCCCTGGGCTGTGGACTAAAGCCCACCTCTGGGGTTAATGTGGTTTATGCAGAGCTTGGACTCAGGACTAGGAAAGAGCATAGGAAAGGGATAACATTTAACAGCCACATTAGAAAAGCCACTGAATTACAGCTCTCATGTTACCCTTGTGCTGTGCTAAATGACACAAAATTCTGTCCTGCAGTGGAGTCTGTAAGAAGAACAGCATTGATTGAAATAGGGGAAAATGGGGCATCTTTGATTTTTCTGAGCCTCCTCCTGGTGGAGGAGGATGATTTTACTTGTTACTTCCCCTTGGCTAATTTGTCTCCCTTTGACATTTTAAGGCAAGACTCAGTTGTTTTATTACGACAATGGTTAATGAATATTATGCTAAAGTACTGCATCAAGCTGTGAAAGAAAGGGGCAAAAAAAGGTGTAGAGTATGTATTGGTGGCTTGCAATTGCTTCCAGGAAATTTTAAGAAACCCAACAACTTTGTATAGACATTTTTTATAACTACAGATAAGTTTGTCCAAAGATTATGCTGCTAATAAGCCATTTTTTAAGAACAGCAAATGGCAGAGGATGGATTCATGTGGCTCAGAGAATATGACATTGAACTATTTTAAGCCAAGTGTCATTAAGCTGAGCTAAAGGTCATATGGAAAAAACATAGAAGTTTTACAGTATATTTGTTATATTACTAAGCATACAGACATACACATTCCTATATCTGCCTGGCCATGCATGAGTGCAGATTGGATTGCTAGAGCAGGGTCTCATAATTCACTGCTTTTGCATATTGTTAGTTTACAATTATCAGCTGTTAATTTGATTCATTTCAGGGCACTTTCTCTGTAACAGAAAATTACATGCAAAAGAGCCTCTGAGTAAGTCTCATAATCTAGTATAGTGTGCTGCTGTCTAAACACTATCATATTTAGATGTTAACTGTACCTCTCTAATGCTTAAACTAAGAAACTGAAAACACTCAGTCTCAGCCCAAAGACCGATTCCCCACACACAAATTCTAAACACAGTCACTGCTATGCTGAGAGGAACTACCTGGCTAGGCACAGGGATATTTTAACTTTAATTACTTAAATCCCTGTTAAAAATGAGATTAAAATCTTGTCACACACAGCTGTCTCCATTCTACCGTAGAGGTAAATTTCACCTCATCAGAAAGGTTCCCTATCTAATTTTACAGAATTACTGGCTTTCTAAATATAAACCATATCCATCATGTTGTAGACAACTTAGTGGGTTTACTAAAGTACTAAAATACAAAAGCTTATGGTTTTAGCTTTTATGGTATAAAAACTAGACACATGACGTATATTTCTAAGTGGAAAAAAGGGAGTTGAAATGATAGACATTTTACCTGACATGGACAGAGTAGTAGGCAGAAGATGCTTCTCAACTGGATACAGTTAAGAGATAATTTATTTTGCTTAACTTGCATGGCAGAGGAAAAGCTGCCTAGTCTGCCAAAAATAAAGCTGGTATAAAATTCCCTTAAGTCCTCAGAGGATGGCAGGGAGCCAACAGCTCCTGTGGCTGTTACAGGAGACCCTCAGTTCCATTGGCTGGGGGACATGCAGTATCACAAATCCATGGGGAAGGCTCTCCCCAGATGACCTGAGAGACCAAGAGGGGATTACTGCCTCTGGGGTAACAGGACTATCTCTAACACAAGCAAAGAGGGCCTTGGACTTGCCTTTTCCAACTCCATTTGAAACTGTCTTCGTGGGTGAGGGACTCTATTCCCAGGGCACATGGAGGCCCAGGTGCCAGCAGCTGCAGTGGCCCATGGAGCTGCAGTGTGAGCAGAACACTCATGGCTTGAATATGGATGTCTGTGTCATCACTTGCAAATACCAAAATGGAATTGCTGTAAAATAGGATGAGAGTATTGGAAGACAGGTGTGAAAGCAGCTGACAGTCTGGCCAGGCTACTGGAGGGGCCAGTGAGTCCCAGCTGCTGGAAAAGTGTAAGATGTAGACCCTAAAGAACGAGAATTACCAAAACAACACGCAGACCCCTGGCACTTCATAACATGGAGCTCAGGACTACAGGAGCAGGTCCTGTTAAGCAGCAAAATTTCATCTCCCCTAGCAGAAATTTGGTGTTATGATATATAGACCAGCCCTGAGCCGTTAGCTTTAAGTGATGGAGTGTGTAGATAAAGGCACCACAGAGGCGGTATGGAGTTTTGTTACCATGCAACTGTAAGCCATGTTCTTAAAACACTTCCCTTATTTTGTTATTATGTAAGTTTTATTGCTCTTGCTTGTTCCAAAGGTCATTTGCTGTTATCATTTCACCTGAGTGGGCACTTCTAATATTAACTAAAGACATAACAGGAGTTAAATGGTAGTTAACAGGCAGATAAAGCATTATGTTACAGTGCACATCCAAGTTCCTGCCACTTGGAACACAGACAACATTTTAAATCTGATCACTGCCAGAGCTTTGCTCCCATTATCTACAAGGAAGTACAAAAGAATTTAAGGCACGTGTGACCTGCTGTCTTCAAGTAACAGTGATGCTAGAGAGATCATGCAGAGAGCTTGGCTCCAATTGCTGTTCCTTGACAAGTCTTGTTTCCTTCACGATATAAAATTGAAATAAAGTATAAAAATACATCTTTTCAAAGGGTCCAATAGTTCCAAGTCAAATTTCAAGATTATAATGCTATAATAATTAAGATTGAGGTACATTAAGAGTGCAACTTCTGCTGGAGTTTCTTCAGGATACCACATTCAGTACAAGAGAGAGACTAATATTTTTCTGTTGCTTCCCTAGAGAGGCTGCACTTTAGTTTTGCTTAATGTCTCCCATTATACATGTAATCCAGTATGTTATTACTGATACCCTGGTTCCTCTGACTGCAGGAGAGTGAGTGGGATTTCCATGATTCCATGATTTACAGACACTCCTTGAGTACAGCTTTTACAGTTGAGAATGAGCTTCAGCTTCCTTTTCATTGGTGTCTTCATCTTTCTTGTCTTCTTCCTTTTCTTCCTTGCTGAACTGGGCTTCAATCTCATTTGGATCAATATAGGTATAAAAAGAAGCCATGATAGCAAAAATGACACAAACTACCAACAGCAGGGCAGCAAACAGCACATACTCTGCCCACTGCAAAGAAAAAAAAAATGCAGAATTTATCCACCAGTATTCACTTGAGTATTAAACCCTTTTAGTATTTTCAGGAAGGAAACTCAGAATGTGAAACTGAGCACAAATAACAGGTATCATATGGCTTACAGGACTAAGTATTAATTAAACATATAATGCATATTAAAGCAACTCAGAATTGAGGCTCTTTCAGCATTTCTATCTTTACTGAAAAAACAAAAATTCTGTAAATGCTGAAAAACTCTGCAACATCCTTTTCCTGGAGGAAATGGGAATTGAGTGAAAGACTGAGAAGGAAACTCAGCTCCTTCCTTTTGGTCAGATTTCTAAACCAGGCTGGCAATGCTTCTGCTTACAGCTGATCTAGTAACCACAAATGTGGGCAGAGATCAGAAAAGCCTCTATCTGAAAAGCCTCAATGTCTCTGTTTCATGCTCTTTCTGATTTAATTTAGCTTAAACTGGGGACTGCCAGAGCTGTTTCAGAGACAAGCTTTTTCCTCTCTCAGATAGCCATTTGAATTCATTACAGAGCACCACAAAAGAAAATCTTGTACAACTGCTCTTCACCAGGACAGACATAGTTTTTATGCCCCAAATAATGAGATTTTAAACCAATGAAGCCAGAAGAAGGGATGTGGCAAGGCTCTGGTATGCCGGTGAAGGCTCATTAGCAATTAACAGAACTTCAGTAGGGTTTTTTCCATTCATGCAGAACTTCAGCTCAAAAGTTCGCAGACTTTCTATACCATGAGAAAAAATTTACTGCAGAGATGCTAGAAACTGCTCCTTGTAAGCAAAGGGGCCTGGCAACAAGAATTAAGGATGGCAAGTAATAGGCAAGTAGAAACCTTTGCAGAAAAACAATTTCTTTTATCTGCCATCATTTCTCACTGGATTAGAACTGCTTTTACCCAGTGTAATATAACAGCACACCTACTGCTTGCACACTTACCTGCTGTTGGATTGCAGATACCCCAGCCACAATAAGGACAATTATGTTACCAACAGCCACAGTCAGCAGCCATCCAGCCTGCAGCACTGACTTCATGTTAGATGGGGCCTGTAGGGACAGGCATTTAAGTTTTGGTGATATCATTTACTTTCTGATGCATTTACTGTAGTCTTTACCTTACAATAAACACTGTTTCTCTGTGGGGAAGAGGATTTC